TTTTTCGAGACTTTGAAAAGACTTGGGAAAAGACTTGGAAAAAACTTGGAAAAACCTGGGGAAAAAAGACTTAGAAAAAAACTTAGAAAAAAACTTAGAAAAAAACTTGGGGAAAAAAAAAAAAAAGAACTTTTTTTGAGTTTTAAGCTAGAACCGCTAAATAGACCCTTCTTATATGTATTAAATAATATAATATTGCAGAAAAGTTTCTGTGTCTATGCATACTTTTACCGTATGTCCACAACCCTGAAACATTTGCATAATAATTATAATAACAATACAGTCATATAAAGAACAATAAAGTAAATAGAATATACATAAGTTTAGCGATTGAAACACTGCACAAACCAATAAGTAAACATATAAATAAATTAAAACAAACATACTTGCGATCATCGCCAAACCTTTGAAACTCACAGCCAACGCTTTGTGCAGTCAGCAGGATGCATCGACTGCACAAACTTTTCCAGAAGTTCTTTGACATGTACTGCCACTGTTGATTCTTTCGAGAAGGGCAAAAGACAATTTTATATACCCAATCGCTCGGCCGTGCACAGTGTTTTCACCTCGAACATCAGAACGCTAATGAGTGAATTTTTTATTTTATTCATGATGCATTGCGGTCGTAGTGCGATCACCGCCTGGGAGGTTGTTAACTCATTCTCATCCGGTGGAAAAGTAGTAATTTGGAGTGGTGTTGTTTCAAACGCTTATATCTCTCAAACTATACATCGCACAGAAACAGAAATTGCACCTTTCGAAAGAGGAGGACGTCTGCTTTCCAATGATACCAATTTCATCCGGAGCTTGGTTAACGATTTACTCGCATAAATTTGCATAAATTATGATATAAAAAAATGTTGCAATTATGCATAAATGTATTTAGCGGTTCAAATTTCAAATATGTCAAAAAAATTTATGAATATGACTGAAAGACACGGTTATGATCTACAAGTACCCGAAGTTTCATGCATGTAGCATAAATAGAAATATTTTTATTGAATTTTTATATAAACTAGGTAGGAGTAAAATTTACATTTTGTGCTCACATGAATCAAATACCTTTATCAAAGGTCCTTTTTTATCGCTGCAACATGTTATCGATACAAATTTCCAATATTTCTTACTCTCCAAAGATAGTATGGCACCAAAATAAGTCTGTGATACCCACAAAAGAACACTCAAATCATGATTAGCAAAATGTCTTTATTTCTACAATTACTACATACATTCTTAGATAATCATTACACCATTGACTTTAGTTATTACTGTCATAACCTGCCTCAAAATTTGGTCATGCTATTCAAATTTGAAATAATCACTACTCATTTGTTTAGAAATTGATTGTTTTCACAATCTAGAACATGAAAATATTTGCAAATAGCATGACCAAGTGTTGTTGGACTGGCATCATCATAATTAGTAGTTATAAAAAAGTAATGTTTTCCAAGGCAGTAATGTTTGCTAAAGCAGTAATGTTTGCCAAAGCACATAATTGGATTATGTGGTGAAAATATTTCCTTTATATTGTACTACAAAAGACCTAAGGCTGTAACCAAACTGATATCAGATCACCATGTCATACCCAAATCTGTTGCAATGAATATCTGGACTTCTTCCTGTATAAATTTCAAAGTCGCAATATAACCATTAGGATTGTCTGCAGCAACCCACAGATTTATTCCCCACATAGTAGGTCATCTAGCTTTCATGAACTGCCTAACCCCCAACCTATTTCTTGATTTGACAGTGTGTTTGTCTGCAACAACAATATTCAGTGACGGCTGGTACAGTTGTTGATGCAGTTTATTGCTGTAGTCTTTAGTACAGAATCTACCATATTCACAAACGCCATAAGCGCTTTGTACCTAACCCGAGAAATTATGTCTATTGCCCACAGACCATGATATAAGGTTTTTACACTCCAATAATTTTCAATCTCACTGTCGACCTTTAGCAAACCTGCATATTATACTAAAAGGCAATCAACCTCTCAAGGTTGGTGGATTGCAAGACCCTTCTTTATTAGTATATGGGGATAACTTTTGAGTTATTTGTATGTGGGCATATGTATTGGTATGGCCAGGAAACTA